CATAAATGTTTGAATGTTGTACTGAACCCCGATAGGCCTAAAGTTTGATGAAGATGTAAGTTACTATATCTTCTTTTTCAGGTTTGACTAATCTTTTCAAACTGTTTCATTTGGTGAATTCCTATTCCTACTTACATCCAAATAAGTGGACAACTTTAACTAAAACTCATTTAGATCAATAGGTACGTACTCCATATATCAGATCATGATGCAGATTCCTTTCTAAGGACATTGTAAAACTTTCTCACACAGTGACAAGAATTTGATATATTTTACGTTTTCTTCTTCGAATTGCTGTTTTGAAGTTTGAGAAGTGCATTTTCACATGATTTATTTGTATGGTTGTACTGGGCATTGCCGATTAGGTTTCCAACTTTAGTTCATGTCATCAATTTTTAAAAAGTTTAATTTTTTTCTAATTGCAATGGTTAATAATTACTTTACCATATCTACTTTTGTAGATGAACTTATTTGTCTTTAACATCTCACACCGTCCAACCTACGTAATGATGATGTGAATATGAACTGCCAATTGAAGGTCTCAAAGGCATTTTGTCAAAAGACAGGTATGGAATGAGCATTTATTGGGATATCATCTTGGTTATCCCTTTTGAATCTGTTTGAGTTTTTTTAGCGGGGAAGGCTAGGTATATATAGAAGCTGTTTCCTCCTATTTTTGATTCTTGATTGGGAGGTATTGGTTGATGTTGGGGTGCATCTAGCATAAAGTATGTTCTTTATTTTGTTGGACATAAATCCCTTAAATCCGAGTGTATGAGGAGATTTATTAAAATGGTGATCAAGATAACACTACGAAATAAGTGAGATAGCAGACATTAAAATGCAATATATTGATTTTGACATTATGAGGTGGTGTTAGGAGTTACGACATTAAACCAAAACTAAAAGGGCATTACAAGCAAAGGTATGAACGTTAAAATACATGAAAAGCATGGAGATTAAGCTTGCGAGAGGCCATTAATAAGCTATAGCGTCAAACATTCGTTAAGAAGAAATTGATTTAGTTATTTTAATTTCGATGGTTTAATTTAGCCTGAAGTGCTTTTTAGTAATTTGTTTACAAGTACTACACATTTTGTATTCTTTGAATGAATCTGTACTATCTGATTTGTATGTTAAATCATACTTTTATATTTGATTTTCCTATCAAATATTAGCGTAGTTTTATTTTTGAAAACCTCATAGGTGATTTTCCAACATTCTTGGAAGCAAGAAAGGTGATTCCTCTTGCATAGGGATACATGTAGGGGTGGAAACAAAAGCAGCCTCAAAGACGAAGGGTGGGTAATCTCACTTATAGGCGTATGTTGTTTGTACATTCATTATGATTCATTTTGTTGAAGAATTTGTAAAACCTAACAGTTTGCAATGGACATCAATTTTTTGTTACATAAAAGTTAAAATTTGAGTTTATTTTTAAATTTTCAAAATAACAATCAGTTTCATTTTTAATAAAACTCAAACTGTTGTCCTTTTCATTTTATGCAACTCATTTTCATGGCAAAAGTTGGGAGACATGATGGGCTGGTACTATAAGTTCTAAGGATATAAGAGCTTGAAGGTGTTGTTCTTAGTATTCGACACTGCTTTGAGGTTGCAATTTTAGGCATTAGAGCTTTGTGATTGAAATCAATGAAGTGTTCATTTAAACATTTGAAAAGACAATTCATTTTTAAAGTATTAAATTTGTATTCGCCCTTCAACAAATGTAATTGTAATACATTATTTTTTTAACTTTTATAATTTAAATTATGATAAATTTTCTTTCCGTGCATCGCACGGGTACGAGTCTAGTTTATATAAAGGATAAAGGATAAAGGATGAGTACTATTGTGTTTTAGATTGAACATTAAATTATTTGTAGATGAATATTATAATTATATTGAACCAATGTGTGAAAATGAGTACTGAATTATTTTAAAATGAGTACCACGCTAATTATATTTGTGCAAAAATGAGTACTACTCTACTTCAAAATGAGTACTACCCGGATGTAACGTACGTCAGTACATCCGGTTGTACTATATACCTTCTCTAACTTTTTCGCACACTATAAATACATATTCCCATTAATTTTATATTATCAGATCTACAATATTCATTTTTCATTTTATTTTTTTGTTCATCAACTCTAATACACTATAAACACAAATGTTCTAGAAACACATTTTGATAAAGCAGCTTCATTTTCTTTTCTTGTTCTTTTTTCTTTGGTGTATGTTATTTCTTCATTTTTCAATTTTTTCTTTGCTTCTTCTTCATTACTCCGTATTATTCTTCGGTTTTTTATTTTTAGTTTTAACTTTGTTAAAAAATTATTTTTATAACTTTTTTTAATTTTTAAGTTTTTTAATTTTTAATTACTCCTTTGACATAATAGAATGATTTCCTTGAAATTCGTACTAATTTAATTATATTTTATACAAATTCAAATAATTGGATGTCATGTTAATTTTATATTTAGTTTTATTTAAATTTATATTTATATATTAGTCCTATTAAATTTGTATTTTTTATATTTTAGATAAATGATTGACTCTGCAATACATGGCTACAAAATCTTATAAAAACAAAGAACATGATCTGAAAGGAACTTCTTCGATGATGAAGCTCATTTTTTTTTTTTGAGAAAATAAAACAAAGGAAGGGGTTAAAAATGTAAATCCACGCGCTCAGAAGTTATACAACTCCGTAATCTGATAAGGAAGCACAGCCACGTCAACGATCCTCGAGACGTTTATCAATCCTCTTGCGCACCGTCCAATTCCATCCAGTAGTCCCTTCCTCACCGTCAGATCTGCCCTTTACCGTCTCGGCTTCTTCTCTTTTAAAATGGAAATCCTTGGTTCACAAACATAATGATCACAAACTTACTATTTGTGAACTTTTATGCATAAAATTAAATTCTCTGAAATCATTTTAAAATCTCTCTGCCTCTCGCACAATTCTCCATACCGCATCATCACAATTTTCTCCCCTTCCTTTTTTAAAAGCGCCAACAACCGTTTCTTCTCCCTCCGATCTCGTCACTTTCATGGCTTCCCCATCGGCTCACGAGCAATCTAACCCCTCGATCCCAGACTATCCTCAGGTGCCTAAATCCCACGATTTATCCTCCCTTTTTTGGCTTCTCTTCTTCGACTGATTTCAATTTCAATTTCCTTTCTTTTGTTAGGTTCCCTAATTTGTTCTTTTGTTTTTTTTGCTTTCCTTTCAGATGATCATGAAGGCGATTGAGGAGGGAAATCACAGGGGAGGCTTGACCAAAGACGACATTTCGAGGCACATAGAAGCCGCTCATGAAGGCCCTCTTCTTTCGGCCCACGGCACACTGCTCATCCACTGCTTGGAAAAGATGAAGCAGAGAGGTCAGCTCCTTTTGGTAAGGAATAACTACATGAAGCCTGACCCTAACGCCCCGCAGCACCGTGGTCGGGGACGTCCCCCGAAGCCTAAGGCTCCGCTTCCTCCCGGATATGTCCCGCCTGTGCCCCGCCCCCGTGGCCGCCCGCCCAAGCCGCGCGATCAGCTCGCCCCGGAGATTCCTCCAATGAAAGTCTCTGCTTCCGTAGGCACCGGACGGAAACGGGGAAGACAGCCGAAGTCCGCCACTGCGGCGGTGGCAGCACCGCGTCCGGCGAATAACGGTCCTCCGAGAGGGAGAGGCAGGCCGCCGAAGGTGAGACCGGCCATGGCTCCCACAGTTGGAGCATAATTATTTGGCTGAAATAAATGTTGCTTTCGTGTCTATCGCTAATTATTTGATCCCTCTTTTTTTTATTATTTCTAATGAAAAAATCTGCTGGATTTTGCCGGGAGTCCTTGTAGTTTTGTTTAATTTCGTTTTACGACTTTATTTTCTTAATGTTTAAGAGGTTGGGATTGTAAGTAGGCACCAGTGTAAATGTTTGTATGCGGCAAAACTGAGTACCAGGCTTTTCATAGGCCGGTGTTGATAACTTGTCTGGTGTGTGCGCGCTTGTTTCCTAGCGTTTTTCATAGGCCCTTTGATTGCAAGTGTTATCCATCGATATCGTATTTAGCTCTTATTTTTATTGATCTTGAAATATTAGTTCAAATATGATTTGGGATGATTTTGTATCAGTTTTGCTATTTAAATCTCAATAAATAAATAAAAATTATCTGGAATAATTCTACTCTTTTGTGTTTTTTATAAAAAAATTCTATTCTTCATTGTCATCGAAATTAATAATCTTATTTTTTTGTATGTATGTGGGTTTTGGGTCGTTGTTAATTAATGGCCATTTAACAAAATTTTTGAAAAATTTTCTGTTTTTCACAAAGAAATGAAATGTGAGATTCTTTTAGATAATTTTTTTTTCATTTTTTTAATTTCTAACATGAAATTTAAATGTTTTTATTATTCCTTTTTTTTTGAAAAAATAAAAGCAAATTTAAGTCTTTAGGGTGAAACTAATTGTTTTTTTCAATAGTTGATAAAAAAGACTTAAATTGTTTTTATTGACCGAATTTTGAATCTTGAGGTTAGAGGTAGCGTTTATGCTCAATAGCCTTACAATTGGGGTGAAGTTATTGCTAAGAGGAGGATGTAGAACCTAAGTCCAATTCTGAACCAATCAATCATCAGGTCCTGGTTCTAGAAGATTCACCTAGACCAACACTCACAGATACCCAAGGGCATTACAACTCTTTAAATGCTCGTTCAAACTATGTAGTGATTACCTAAATGTCTTCCTAGCTAAGTCCCAACTAGCGAAGTCGTATATGAGGTGGAACCAACTATGGGACTTGACTCACAATCACCTACACTTACCCAAGAAAAGGAGGTGGAAATCTTACCTATGGCAATAAATGACCAACTCCTTAATTGTATTGAAAACACACAACTCTAGATGCTGTTCTAGAGGAAATAGAGCCCATTACCTACCTCTAAGATTTCAATGTTCAAGAGCCTGAGAAGAAATCTATAGACAAGGAAATACTATGTATGGAAAAGCCAACTTCATCTATAGAAACTTTTGAAAATAATTTCTTATTAGAAGATTTAGACCAAACTTTCTTTGAATTCTGCCTGACGGGTGCAACTATGTTTGCCTAGAGGATAGCTGTAGCCAAGCAAGTTGAGACGAGCTTCTTGTGAGTGACACTGAGGACTCTTCCACAGGGGTAAGTACTGTCGTAATCATTTAACCACAAATGTATAGTCAACCCATTTAAGACAATGAAAAAATCAATCTCGCAATCAAGGCTAATGATGTGGATCTATCAAGGAGACTTCCGCCACCACCAATCAATGCAAAGTCTCCTCTTTAAATTCTGTTGCCACCAAGCCGTAGTGATGAGTCAAGGATCCTGGACCTTGACCGGGCAAAATATCAAACAAGGTGGCATTAGAAGAGAGTCAGAAGGGTCAAACTTTATGACTCTCGGATCGGAAAGTCACGGAAAAAGTGGGTGAGCGTCAAGCTACAGATGTTAAAGAAGAGCTTAATAAGAGGCAATCTGTCATTCATAAAAATATTTAAATAAGTTTTTGAGGTTATTTTTGCCGCACCAGTTTTGGGGGCAAGAATTATTTTGTTTGTTGTCTTTGATTTTACAGATGGGAGAACCGTAGGGCGTACCTTGTAAAGGAAGCGAAGAAGAGGTCATGCACCTGGGGAAAACACAAAGTTTCTGCCATCTTCGACGCTCATTGATCCAACAGTCCTGGTTGAAGTCGGCTTTTGAGAGGAAATTGACTTTCTCAGTAAATTCTCTTTTCTCTACTATTTTGAACATTATTTTGGATGCTTGTTTGGTTTTATTTTGGAAATTTACATTATGAATCATAAACTCGTTCTTGATAAAATTTCTTTTTTACATGTTATGGTTATCTGTTATTTCAATCTTCATGGTTGAATTTTTTTTGTATTGAGATAACTTAGTAATTGCATGTGAGCATTTCAATCATTAACTCCTATTCTAGAACACTCTTAACCGCGAGGGCGCAGTGAGGATGTAAGAGTTTCTGGTTGAAATGATTTCTTTAGGAGTTGTTTTGCCTATATATTTGTATGAAAAGGTCTTTATAGAATAGTCATCAATTTTATTTGTTGATTAATTAATCACCCATAATAATTGGAAACTTTTAAACTTTTTGTCAATTTTTAATTTTTATTCTAATCTTTAGGGATTATTTTCTAAAATTATTTGGGATAAATTCACTATTTATTAAGAGTGTTTAAGATTAATAAATCTTTAGTGGCTCTAATGAAAATCATGTTTTAAAAAAATTATTTTCAAAGTATAAGGGATGACGTTCCAAAGCATACTTTGGTGAGACCAAGATTCTTGTTTAAGCAAAAAAGCAGTTGGTTCTAGGTCAATTGATGAGGCTCGGTGAGTATGCCGAAAAGCACGTAGTTTTATATTGCGTGATGAGGCATTATGTATGATCGATTAAAATAAAAAACCATGCAGTTCTATGTCGTGTGATGATACTTTCTAGAGTGACTGTCCAAAAAACTCGTGGTTCTATGTCTCGGGATGAGTTTAGAAATTTTTCTCGTGTCAACAGGACAAAGTTATACTAAGAAAATTAAACCCTTACATTTTGACAAAGACTTTTGCAAGAACATGTTTTCCAGTTTAGCCATTAAAGACTTTTTTTATATCTTAACTCACTCTTACAAATGTAATTATCCCAAGGAAAGTTTTGGTTGTTTAAGTTGGTATAAAAATATTTGTTTGACAAAATACTTTTTACAATTCTAACAAGATGGGTGAGAATTTAGAAGTTCATTTCTTCTTAACAAAAGATTGATGATTGTCTTATTTCTTCTTTCCTTCATAATATGTAGCTTAAGTGTGAAGATTTTGATAAGCCCGTTTCGTTCGTATCATTTTCATAATATTCTAAACGTTATTGCACGTAAATAATAGCTAATCTTCTCATAAAATGTGTTTTCAATGAATTAAACTCTCATTTTTGTTCTAAGAGTCATAAAAAGGGATTTTACATGAAATCATCATCAATCATTCATTATATGTTCAAATACTTGAAAAAAAGGAATCAATCATCAAAAGATCAAGATTCCAGCTTGAACTAGCTTCTAGGAGGCCAAAAACAACGTTTGAGGTCAAAAGGAATTGAAATTGGGCCAAATTTACGTGTCCGCTCATAGGATTGTAGACTGGCCCCACAAACCAACACAAGTCTTTCCCGCGCACTTTGTCCTCACTCGTGCGCGCCCAAGGAATTTTCCAGGGGGTCACCCATCCTAAAATTGCTCCAGGTCAAGCACACTTAACTTTGGAGTTTCTAGGTGATAAGCTCTCGAAAAGAAGATGCACCTTGTTGGTATGAGGAGTACTATCAATCCTTTTGAGCTCTTCCTATTCCCATCTTAATATCGGGTACTACATTCACCCCCACTTAGGAATGCAACGTCCTCGTTGCATCCCTTTTTTGAACCCATAGATCTTCCCCGCTAGGTAAACTAAGATCTTTTGGCCCGTCACTGTCGCAGGGTTGCTCTGATACCATTTGTAACACCCAACCCCCCACCCTGGCCGTAAGTGTCCGCTCATAGGATTGTAGACTGGCCCCACAAACCAACACAAGTCTTTCCCGCGCACTTTGTCCTCACTCGTGCGCGCCCAAGGAATTTCTCAGGGGGTCACCCATCCTAAAATTGCTCCAGGTCAAGCACACTTAACTTTGAAGTTTCTAGGTGATGAGCTCTCGAAAAGAAGATGCACCTTTTTGGTATGAGTACTACTATCAATCCTTTTGAGCTCTTTCTTTTCCCATCTTAATACCGGGTATTACATTAGACGCTTCAAGTTGGACGCTTTACCTTAATTGCATCCCAAGAATGACACGTGGAAAAAGCAGATGCTCCGGAACACCCAGAGCATCCAGATAAGGACACTTGGACTTAGACGCTTGGTGTTGGACGATTTACGTCCGACCCTATATAAACAGCGCCTCTCCTCTTCATTTGCATCACATTCCATCCCATCTCATCCCATCTTCAAGTTTTCCACCTTTATTCTTCATTTTTGCTTCTAGATTAGTTTAGTAGTTAGTTCAGAAGTGTTTTCAGAGATTTCAACTCAAGATCTGTTCTATTCCGCTCGTTTGGATGTTTTGTAAGTTTCCAGATTTAATGTAATTTTATTTTAATTATTTTTCATGGTATGAGTAAGGGTCCGGACCTCTGGGTCCGGATTAGTTTTGGAATATACTTTGAATGTTGTGTTAATGTTGGAATGGTTATCCTGAAATTATTCTTGCCTTATTTAGTTAATTAATATTGAAAGATTTAATTAGTTATATTTTGAAAAATATTATACACCGTAAGGCTGTAGTATTCAAGACAAACAGGGTAATTAAGAATCCTAGTAATAGGTGAGTGATAAATCTTTTTCTTTCTTATAATTTCATCATATTCTAAACGTTATTGCACGTAAATAGTATTTAATTATCTCATAAAAGGTGTTTTTAATGAATAAGACTCTCATTTTTGTTCTAAGAGTCATAAAAAGGGATTTCGCACACAATCATCATAAATCATCCATTAAATGTTCAAATACTCGAGAAAAGGAGAAATAATAATTAAGGGATCTAGATTCAGGCTTAAACGAGCTTCCAAGAGGTCAAAATATGTGTTGGGGAGCAAAACAGATCAATTTGGGGCAGAACAGGGCCCAAAGTCGTGAAGTAGGCAAGAAGGTTCCGGATTCGGGTCCTTAGTGTCCAAAGTTGGATTCCACAGAAGTTGGACGCCCAAGCAAGCAGGAGTGACGTGGCTTTGCCATGCAGTGCAATCGGAATGGACAGGGCATGTAATTCAGGCACGGGCATCCAAAGTTGGACGCCCAGAGGGATTGGACGCTCGAACTCCATATCCTATATAGACCTCGCAATTCCCAAAACCATTCATTATTGGATGGTGTGTAAAAATGAAAGTGGACAAATACTCTAGGACGGAGGTAGTATTAATTAGGAACTTCTTTGTCATGGACCCCACATCGTTGCGGTTCCTCCTCAGCAGTTGTTTCCCTTACCAGTAGATGCGCACTGTTAAACACTACATGCTCAGCATAAAGCTTAATGGCAAATAACTAGTAGACATATATAACATGTAAATATTCTTTTAGGGGATTTTATGTTATTCAAGTTTCAAAAGCTTTTAGCATAATTAAAATCATTGAGGAAACAATCACACTTTGAACATATACTTACGACATTTAGAAAACTCTTGACCTACTAAGTTAACCATAGATTAGAGACTAAGTCGTGACTAGGCTGGAACCCCGCACTAGTCGATGTGAACCCTAGACCCACGGGGCCTCCCCGTGACCTCGGGTCCAGTAATCAGAAGTGAACCCTAGACCCACGGGACCATCGTTGGGTTCTCGTGGCACGTTGTGGTATGATTATTTGTAGGCTCATCCACTTGGACCCATACGGTCCGGCCTAATAACACGTGGTTTGACCCACTCGCTACAACATGACAGTACCTGGTCAAGGTATGTCATTAAATTAACTTTTAGGTTTTTACTTTGTCCACTAACTATTCGGTTAACCTTAGTACGATCATTTTAAAAAAACGACTTTTGATACCTTCAAACATTTTAAAAAAAAAACCTTAGTCGGTCTGTGTCCCTTTGCAACCAAAATATTTCATTGTTGCCAAACCAACCAAACATCACTCAAACGTTAGGAGAATATACATTTTCATGTCACATCTTAAGAAACAATCTATAAATATTAGTTTTCAAATATCTTATATATATATATATATATATATATATATATATATATATATATATATATATATATATATAAAGTTGAATATGTTGGTTGTGGTGTTGACTTGTGGCATGCCACATGTGCATCCACATGTGTACTAATTAAGGAGGTGGGTGCTTTTCATTGGTTCATTAAGCTTCTTTTTTCAAAAAGATCTTTTAATATATTTTATTGTATTATATTAAATGAATATTATTTTTTAGCATTAAAAAATTACTCTGATTATATTTTTTATAAGATGTTAACATTTTCTAATAATTCTATAAACATATATTTCACCATTGTAAAATATATTCAACATATTAAATATGAATATTCATTGTAAGATTTTAAATAAGAGTATGTATAAGACTCTTTATTATCAATTTAAGTATATTTCATTTTCAGAAAAATGAAAAAAACATTTCAGCTTCAAAATTATTAAATTGCGTTTGACATTTTATATTTTATTTAATACAATATTTTTTATAATAAAATAGTTATAGAATTTTTAGTGCATGTACATCAATATTTAAAGTTTACCTTTTATTTAAAAATATACTCAGTATATCTTAGAGTGAAAAAAATATTCACTTAAAATAAAAAAATTATATTTATAAAATGTCAAAAGTTTAGAAAGTATACGAGTCCGTACGAAGCATGAGGTTAACACTAGTATGTATATATACTGTAACGTCCTACAAACCGGCCTAATAGTTAGCCAATATTTTGAATAAATAAATAATATTTATTTATTGAGACTCATTATTGTAAATAATAAATATTGGGATTTTGATCTCTTTAAATGGACTTCCAAAGTTAATGTATTTTAGTCAAAGAAAGATGTTTTTAATAACGGGTCTCTC